ATTTTTATAAAATTTAACATATTTATTTTTATATTTTTAGTAGTATTAAATTATTATAAAGTAGGTATTTAAGATTGTAGTTCTACCCAAACATTTAAAAGATGTTCATGATAGATAAATAAGTTATACTTGGGATATATATTTTTAAAGAAAGTTAGGTTTAAACCTACTAAATTATAATAAAATCTAGTTTGACCTAATTTATTTTTGTGTTTAATTGTAATCGTAAATATAAAAGCATGTAAAAAATAATTATGATATATATATTTATGTCTTTAAAAGTTATACATAAATTTTTTAATATTACAAATATATAAATAAGTATTGTCCCCACTATCTAAAAATTTTAGATGCGTCACTGTATGTAATGATCCATGTTCGCGGATAAATTTGTCTTTCCATATGTAATCACCAGTTAAATGTGTAGCTTGTTTTGTATATATACTATAACAAAATATTTATCGTATAGATTATATTAGTTATACAAAATAAATTATTCATTAGTTTATTAGTAAATGATTACGTAACATTTAAACTCAAGAGATTGTTTAAAAAGATTAAATTTAGTATTATTCATACTTATAATTTATATTATATTTTGTGCCATCCAAGATATATTATTTCAGATATAATCTAAAATGGACTTGTTGAGATTGATTTACTCATACGCTATGAATAAACTCCTTCGTCTTCATATTTAGAGCTGATAGACAAGTGTATTATTCTATATATAATCCAAGATGGACATGTCAAAATGATCTTAACCTAAATCTTTCATCCCTTGCCTCTCACGTTAGCCAACCATGGAACCCCCCACCTTACAACATCTATTGATCACAAACGACGATGAAGAGGATCTTATTCTCCCAGACGAACCAAACACCAACCTCACAAATGATCTATCACTTTGTATGTTGGGTTGGTTCCTTACTGATAGAAACATTTGCACAAACATTATGAAGGAATGCATGGCAGAAGTGTGGCATCCCAGGAGAGGAGTTTCCATTAAGGAAGTCGAGAAGGGGCTTTTCTTGTTCCAATTCTTTCACGCACTGGACATGCAAAGCATCTTAAAAGGTGGTTGTTGAGATTTCCGTTGAAACTACTTTTGTTATCGTTGTAAATCACTTTAATTCTATCAACGGACTCAAACACGGCAAGTATACCGGTCGTTCAAGTAGTAAATTATATCGTATCCACAGGGACTAGTAGGTAAAATAAACATTTATTGACTATTCGTGACTAAAGAATGATTCCATTTTCATAGATTGTCATGCAATTCAAATAAAGGTTATGACCTATGGAATGTTAAAGCTATAAAATTAATTGTGTGTGTGGAAGGGATAGAAATGGTGTTGTGGTTTTGTAAGATTTAGATATATATAAAACTATAAACTTAATGTCTCTTTTGAATTTTGATGCATATATTTGATATTAATTAATTATTTTCTTTTTCTATTTCATTTGTATCACTTATTATTTACGAAATAAACGTTTTAGTTTTTATTTTTCTTAAAAAAGTATTCATTGATTTCGTACTCTTGAATTTTGCTTACTCTAACCGAAGAAAAGGCAACAAAAAGTTTTATGCAGAATTGTCTTTTTAATGAACACGAAAATCAATTTTCTCGTTTAGAAGAACATAAATTTCTTTATGTCTCGTGAGTTATAGTCATGTATGGCGGCTTCATCACTGAGCCTAATTAGGTCTTGCGATCTAGAAGTAATTTTACAAATTATTTATTTATTTTTAATTTTAATTAATTTGTCAAAACCTTTTGACTAACAGGAACCCACCAACAGATCAGATCTAACGGAGAGAGCTAATTTTTTACAACATAGTAAATTCATGTTTAAATTTCTAATAAATTAAAGTGCTATACATACAGTGTGTTGAACAAGATTGTTTTATAAAAAAAAATTCACAAAAGTAATGATCTCGTTTGACATGATTTTATTAGATGCAATAATCCTTCTGTTCAAACTATGTGTTCCATAATAATGCAACGTGTTATATATAAAGATTCGGACGCTGAATTTAATATTAGTTTGAATTAGAAGATAGAATTGACAAAATGAGAAGCTTCTATTAAGTCCTCAAAAATAAATGTGTTGATTTAGGGCATCTAGGCTAAGCGTGGAGTTGGCTGACCTAGTGAGTTTCGATAGGCATGGTCCATGATCTAACATTTGAAAATTTGTGATTCTGAAATATTACAAAAAATTAGGTTCATTAATAAATAATTATTTTCATAGTAAAGTTCGTTTGATACATTACTTTATTACGATTTGATTTGAGATTGACACTCGATATACATCTATACTAATAATAAAAAAGTTTGAATTTATATGTTATTTTTAATTTCTCTTTTTTAGTTTCATTATGTAAGTTTTTTAAATTTTACATAAAGTAATCATATGTTTTTATATTTTTAAATATTTATAAATTTGATTTTAGAAATTTTATTCAAATTTAAATTTACGCACAATGGGAGCTTGCTATTACGGAGTAGAAAACAATTTATGTTGTATGGTTAGCGTTACTCTTTTGTTAATTTTCCTCGATGGTTAGGGTTCCAATTTAATTATTGTATTAGACTTTGTCATTAGTTGGGAAGGGAAATTAAATTCCTTTAAATTTACGTTGAATGGAATTTCCATATTTGGCATTTAATGCTTTTGATCACAATTACGTTTCATTAAATTTTCAAAAAAAAAAATAATAGTAGAAATATGTGTTTTTAAAATAAATTGAATTATATGTATAAAAAAATATATATATATGCAAAGGTCGACTATAATTGATTGTTTAAAATTTAAATAAAACTTTTGAAAGGACATATTGTTTAAGTCTAGTTTATTATTTAAATTGAGCATAATTAAAAATTAAACTTGACTTTTTAAAAATACAAAACTACAATTTAATTTATTTTTTTATCGATCAAAATCAAACTTGGTACCAGCTGATGTAACAACTCACGTGTTGTACCCCTTAAATTCAACTTATTTATAATTTCATTATTTATTTTTTTTAAAAAAAATTGGATTATTTTGTAAGTTTATTTAGTATTCTAAAAATATAAAAATGAAAGTAGACATACAAATAAAGTAAAATAAAATCATACATGAGAAATTATAGTTGTCTAATTAAATGTAACTTAAAATTTACAATAGTTTAAATAATTTATATATACAAATTATTCATATGCTATAATAATAAACTTAGAAATTTTAAAATAACTCATTCAGATAAATAAATTTGATTTCAAATTTAAACTTATTTATTTAGTTAAATAAATAAATTAAACTAAACACTTAAAGAAATATGTGACGTCCTTTTACTCCGTAGGATACGTTTGGTGGGTGCTATTTTAATCGTGCGAATCGATTGTGTTGTTCGAAAGATGCACATATTTCAGCGTTACGATAAATCCTATATACTAAGTTTGGTCATGGGAACTTCGAAATTGACCCGTTTTCGTTTTCGTTTTCATTTTCATGGGATGCGTCCAAACGTCAAATTCAGAATTTGACTCTGAACATGAAACGTGCCCACCCACCAGGTTTGAATTTTTTGGAGCTGGATCTGCATCTATACATCTATATTTAATTCGATCCATTATCTGTGCCCAACGTACCAAATTACTAAACAATGCATATTTTGTTAAATTATTATGGTGTGTTATACACGTGCCTTTCCATATAAAATTTTTATATTCCATGAAACATAAATATATACATATATTTATATGTTTGGGATTCACAAAAAAAAAATTGTTTGGGTACAAAAATATTATTTGAGTTTAATAATAATAAATATAAGAAATTTATTTTCTAATATAAACTTAATTATGTTTTTATTATTTTAAATGTTATAAATTTTTAATTTAGTTTAGCTCTCTTTCTTTTTTGTGCTAAGTGAAGAGAATGACTTTAAACACAATAATAACAATAATTATTCTAAGCTTGATATTAAGCATAATAATTTTTCGCTAAATCCTAAATCCTAAACGCAAATACAGTAAGTTAAAGTTTATTTGGATACTGTACTGTCTCGGGTGATATCCGAGATGACCTACAACCCTTCATCCAAAGGTTATGGACTTTAGTTACTTTGCCACATCAAGGCTGTATTTTCACCATCATATAGAATATCAAGGTTTGCAGCATTTTGTGGCTCTCAAATGTGATTTCTTTGAAGATCTTATTAAGGTCTTCTATTCGAACTTGAGAGTATCTAAAGCTGGTTTCCTCTATAGTGACGTGAACAAAACAAAGATAAAAATAAAACCATCTAATTGGTTAACTCTAGCTGGTTTGAAGTATCATGGGCAAAAATTACCATTTCCAGACATCCCAGAGGAAATGCAGTTCGACCGTGACATAGCATTGACATCTATGATTAGACCAGAGCTGCAGGGCCAAAATGTCATAAATGTAGGAAGTCTTAACATTAACGACAGACTCCTACATTATGTCTACGTCCATATATTGGCTCCCCGATCAAGTAACTTTTCCCAACTCTTGCAGGAAGACATTTTTGTGTTATGGGCCTTAAAGAATAACATTTTGATCAACTGGTCCCATTATATCATGCAACACATGGTCAAATGCAAGGACAATGGGATGTCTCTTCCATACCCCATTTTAAATTCACGCATTTTGGTTGTTTCTGGCATAGACTTATCAATTGATGTTGCAGTCGAATTAGGGTAGCCACATTTTTTTACTAAAAAAACCTTGAAAAAATTAAATGTCATGAATGTCAACGGTGTTTAGTTACATGGCAGGGATAATCATGATCATGGCCAAAATGTTGAAGATGAAGACCATGCAATGCCTGAGGACCATGCTGACGAGCAGCCTGCCGACATCACACAACAACCCCCAGTCCAGTATGATGGTCAAATGCTTTCCCAAATATGGACTGACATTCAAGGGTTACAAGAAGGATTAAATAATTTGACTATCAATGTTAATAGAGGTTTTAGATCGAGTACATAACAGGCTTGATGATCTCGAACAAAAATTTGATGACTTTCGGCATTCATTTGAATAAACTACGTTATCTTATTTTCTTTTTTATTATTGTAATTTAAATATGTTTTATTTAGTTACAACATTTTTCATTTCTATTATTTTATGTCATTTAATTATTGTTTACTTAATTGATGACTGAATTGTATTTTCTGTTTCATTTTACAAATATATTATTACCCATCTACTTTGTAATGTTAAAAATTTCTTAATTTTTTAATTAGTAAAAATTAACTTGTACAGTTAACAAATGTATCTTCATTTCATTCTAATTTATGTCAATGATTTATCAATTTTTTAATTTATTAATTAACTTTCAAAAAATTTATTGTACATTTTTTTTATATTAAAAAATTCTATTATTTGAATATTGACATCAAAAAGTGGAAATATTAAAAAAATAAAGTAATACATGTTTATAAAATTAAAATAATAACACTATCATAAACATTAATAAAATAATAGAAAATATAATTATCATAATATATTTTATTATTATTATTTATTATTATAAATATTATTATTATCATTATTATTAATATTATTATTATTTATTATAATTAGTATCATTATTATTTATTATGATTCTTATTATTTTTCTAATATTTATTATTATTATTATCATTATTTATTATTTTTTTAATAAATTATACCTATTAATATAATTTTATTGTAATTATTATTATTTATAATAAATAATATTATACTCATTTTTAATCTAAGGGTAAAAGTGTAAATTACATATTCATCTATTAAATTTTTAATTTTTATCTATCATTAAATTTAAAGCAAATATTTAAATTAAATTATTTTTAAATTAA